TGACTGAAAGATTTCTATTTTTTCAAGAAATACAAACAGAATTCAAAAAAGAATAGGAAATTCATTGTGATAAACACTGAATCCTAAGCTTTCTTAAGTTTTGAAACCGATCAAAATCGAAACTTTCCATAATTCAAGTTTGTCGAAAAATAAAAGACTCCTTATTGGAGCACTTAATGATGTTTTACTAATTAAATAACTAATATATGAAGTAGTGGATAGAGAAAATAAATATCCCTGAGAGTTCACAATAACGTGCACAACAGAAATGTTCCTTCCATTGAAATAATTCGTCAGGTACTCACTTCTGATGAGGTCAAAGGCCATCGTCAGTTTGAGAATGCATAGTTCTGGTGACATTTTTAGTGTTAACATGATATTTCGCAAAGTTGCAATTTCATCTGATACAATATTATGGCTAAGTGATAGACTTTAAGATATTGCTAATTTACTTGACATTGAAGGAAAACTGAACCAATACGACAATTACCATTAAAGTCATTAAAACTTCAGTTATTAGCTATATATAACATTATTAGCTATATATAACATATCATAGACATTTCCCTCATTAAATATCCAATATTTAAAGAAGGAAAATAGAAGTTAATGAGAGCAAATGGGTGGAAAATGTTTCAAAACGCAGTTAAAATGATGATTAATCACTGCAAATTGTTGAAAAATGATGAAAAAAGAAATTTCAATATCTATTCAAAGCTCTTATTATAACTTATATTAAGCACTAAATATAAGAAATGAAAACAAAGTCTAATCCTTACAGTTATTAAATTTCGAGTAACCAATCAAGGAGGTATTTGAAAAAAAAATTAAAACTTACCAGCAGAAATGAACATAACTTAGTTTGAAATTAGTACTTTTGTCAAATTCTCAATAATTAAGTCTGCTTAAATATTTGTTCAAAAATTATATTCAAACAGTGTGAAACATATTTTGACCACTGTATGACAATAGGACATTTCATCATGGCTACATGGATCTATTTATAAATGAGCTTTATTAATTTAATGTTTTTCTATTTTCAAAAGTGTTAATGACCGAAATTATCAAGAAATATATAACTCCTACCATCTTCAACCACTGAATTATATATTGTTTAAGTTGTCACTTAGTACTTGATCGATGGATCGTTACATCTCAATAGATGTTTATACAGGATATCATTATCTTTGAATATTAATGTTGATGATAACAGTATACCATCAGTCATAATGACGCTCACATTTAATTGATCACAATTCAAATTAAAATATGATTGAAGTTTGGTTGAGAAAAGATTTCAATTACAAACAAATTAATGAGAAAATTGTGAAAAAAGAGGGTGATAAAAATGATTTGATCGCTGTAAGCTTTTGATATTGCAAATCGTAAGTGAAAGAACAGACTGTGTCACTCAATTCAACTGATAATGTCATCATTTCATGCTGATAAGCAGCTGGCCACCAGAAACGAGGATGGATTCATCTTAGCATTCCAACAAATATCAAACGACATTCAAAATATAAATAGATTTGTTCTGATTACGAGCATTTCGTCTCAGTTTTGTCATTATCACCAACAGTAAACACTATTTAGCGAATGCACACCTTCCGGCATGTAATCAACATTCTCTATCAGGTAATCTTCCGGAATGAGGCGCAGAGGTTAATGAAAAGATGTATTTAAAGAAATGAATATGTAAAAATCTGTAAAAAAAAGTCCCTTTACGGAGCAGAAAAATGACATGATGTATTTTGATTTCTGTACATTAGTAGTAGAGTAGTGATAGAATGTGACTCCTTATCATATCACAATCAATGGACCTTTACACCGTAATAAATGCTTATACAGGACCATATCATTGCCATTACACATAAATATTGATAATAACAGTATACCATCAGTCATAATGACCAATTGAGGACTTTTTGATTCTGTTGGAGCACTGAATTATACGAATCATATAATCCACTTTCAAAATCATATAATTAATTAATAATCCAAAAGGTAACAATGGGAAGAATTCTTCAAATTTCGAGAAAGATTAAATTATTATTTCAAAATAATTACTGTCAAACAAACAAAAACGCCAACTTTTTCTTCGCTTCCATCAAAATGGCTCAGTAATAACATTATTTAACACTGATACCATTTATAAAACGATAAACTCGTCAAACAAGAAGTACTGTACACTTTAAGAGATACACAGTAATTATTTGTGTTTACCAGGTATTTATAACTGCCGCTACTAATCTTTCATTTTTAACTGTCCTAAAGACAATAATTAAAAGATTTAACTGAACAAGCAGCAAGCAGGTTTATTACAAAAGAAGAAACTATACGATAATAATATCTTGGTAGATTGGAAAGAAAGAAAAAAGTAAACAAAATGAAAAATGGTAGTAGCACATGCTTGATATACAGGTATTTGACCATAAAGGTAATCAGTCCATCGGTTTCTTATGTAAATATCACTTATTGCATTGCTACTTCTACTACCAATACTAGCTTCTGCTGTTATATTAGCGCTAAGGTAGTAATGAAAAGTTATAGATAAGAAGATTGAAATTTCACTTCTCATCTTAATTTCTCCAATAATTCCCGCTGGAATAACAAAGTTTGATTAAATTGTACTTCTTCAATGACTGAAATTAAAAATTTGATTTTTTTTTCTGAACAAAAGTTTTTTCCCGGAATTCCGACGACATTCAGCATATGATATTGTTATATCTTCCTTGTTTTATTGAAAATGATTTAGTAAATCAATCAGTTTTCAACAACTTCCTGAATGCGTCTTAAGCTATGATTGTCAGTGTTGCAGACGATTTGACGAAATGATATAAAATTTAGTTAATATTTTAGGATAGGCGGCCGATAATTTAAAAGAGATATTAAAAACTGTAAAAGTTGCACAATAAAAGATTTAGAATCTTCATAAGCCAACCGTATGTTTTCGACAACGATCTTAGAAAAAAAAACCGCCCAAATATTGTAAACATAATTCAGCGGATTCATCTTGCAATAAGCGTTGAAGTTGATCCGATCCGGAAAAAATATTTTGACAGCTTGAAACTTTAGCAAAATTATTGATCTCCTCTAAAAGCTTCAAAATTTCTTCAAACCTAATTGAAGGAAGCAAACGAATCAAATATCCGCTTCTGTTAAAAGTTCCGTCTGTCCACTTGATTTTTCACTCATTTGTCGTACACATGTTATCATATAATCTGCAAAAGACCATTCAGAACAAAAAAAAAATTTCACAAATCTCAGCTACTTTTTCATCTTGTTATTTTCTTCGCCTCTTTTTTGCGTCACTTCCGAATTTCACACTTTTTCACAATGTCCACATTGTTGTCACACCTCTAAATTTTTCTCATTAATGTATCCATTTACCTTTCCATTCCTTTCACCTCCCACATTTCCACAAATATCCATTATACAAACCATCCCATTCATCCGCTCTAATATTACCCACAGTACTATGCAACAACAAAAATTTCATATTTTCCGGTAATTCCTTCCTTTAAAACCGGTTCTTTACAGCTTTTGCTTGTGTGCTGAGAATTTTCACTAAAATTCATTTGTTGTCCAGTGGCTGTTCATGAAGGACAGTGGCGAAGGAATGAAGGAGATGCTGAAGTGTACGATTTTAAGTTTGATTTCCGTTCTAGAATCTAACGAACCAAATTCACGGAATCAATTTCATGCAAAATCCCTTTACAAAGAAATAAACAAAGCTATAAAGTATCTGCTTACATTCAAATGAAAAAAAAACCTGAGAAAATTTGTATGAAATTTAAAATTTATCAATAAGGTTTTATTTCATCCACTAATCAGCAAAAAAGAACAAACGGACGAACAAAAAATATGCGGAAAGACCAATAAATCGTAAGAGTTCACAAAATCGCATCTGATGACCTGTAACACATCCGATGACCTGCAATATTTCATTTCCAGTGCTTTTCTGTGTGTGTTCCTCTCCCAGCAAAAATGACCTTCTGTTTAATTAAATTACCAAAAATGAGATTAAATGTCGAAATAAAAAGTTGTAATTATTATTGAAAATATAGTACTTTGATAGCTGAATAAAGTCATAAATAAGATTTCTTTGACCAAAAAAACCAAACATTAAATGAATATAGAGAATTTAGAAAATAAAAATCAGTAATAATTGACATCTCATATTATCAGCGATACTCAAAATGACTTTAAACTTTCTGAAAATCAATAAGTTCTATTCATTAAACATCAAATTTTACAAATAAAAGTTGGAAAAAATGCAAACGCAATTAAATAAGACTATAATTGGTCCACAATATCATTTAATTATAATAGGAATTTTAAGGAAAATAATTAAGCAAAATAAATGGAACAAATATGAAATATGAAATGAAAGGAAAGATCAAATCATTTCAGGTTGACGTAGTACCAATGCAAAAAACTATCTTTATGACAAGTAGGTCACTTTACTACAAAGTTGCAGTGTCCCATTGCAAATTGATATCGAAGCAACAGTACCTTACCTTTCTTCACTTGTAGTATTTCTTCTTGCAGTACAACCTAATGACAGGTGGTTTTGCTTAATTTTTTTGAACAAGAAGTGGTAGCAAATTTAAATTTATGTTAAGGTTTAGATAAGTTAGGAAATTTAATAAAAAAACCTATATGGCAATGGTTTAATTTTTTTCAGTTTTTCTTTTAATCTAAGAGTATTGAGCCAAAATATTTTCGTGCCATAAAAGTCCAATTATGAATGGATGATGTTTTGGATAAGGAGAGGAAAATTTATTTTATCTAATGAAAATGTGAACTAAAACTGAATTCTTAATAATAAAGCTTGAGGAGTAATTGGCCAAGTATAGGTAGCCAAAAAGTTATATCATGAAACCTCTATCATTGAGTGAATTTGCAAGTATTCTATTTCTTGTCTTTTATCATAAAGCTTTCAGCATTCTGAGTAATTTAATGCTTGTTTTAAGCAAACATAGTGATAAAAACAACTATCAACATATGCTATGACAATCATTTGACGGTAGAATTATCAGCGTTGCAACTGTCTCGTTCAAAGCCTGCTCACCGATCGGATAAGATTGCCGATCGATGGTAAAAAACCAGGAATATAGATGCATTCCTTTCAGCCACGGCTGTACAAAGCGACATTTCTCGTCACCATTCGTGGTTGACAGAATCTGTAATGATAAGAAATGATTTTGCTGGCAACAATTTTAAATGATAAAAGATCCTTATCTCTGTATTTTATGTCATCTTGTCTGATAAGAATTGAAGTTACAAACTTTGCCCAAAGTTGGCAAGAATGATATAAAGTGAAATAACTTCACATCAGTGATTAATTTTGTTCGAACCAATGCTTTTGAACAGCTAACTTACCTGTGTATAACAAGTGCCACCTGGTTCCATTGAACAAAGATAGCTCATTAGGCGAGTTCTTTCACCGGTAATGTTATACCTAAAAAAACAACAGATAATTCGGCTTTCAGGGTGTTTTAAAATAACAATTAACTTCAATCGTATCTGTTTACTTGCTTAACTTGAATGTTGTAATTTCATCACCATGTCGACCTTTTCAAACTTTATATGTAAAAACAAATCTGATCACCTATAACCGATACATTTTCCATCTTCAAGCCATTGAGCACCTGTCTTTATATAGGGAGTATTATCCGTCACCATAATTTGATGCGCATGCGATATATGTTTCACAAGTGGTTTTACACTTCGATCTACGACAAAAAAAATCATCTAAATTTCCTCTCATTTCTTCTCCTCAATCTGATAACAGTGATAAGATGAATTCATGATATCATATAATCTGAAAAGTAGTTACCTATTTTCAGGACCATCAAGATGAACAACTTACAGTTTATTTGCCCAGATGAACTGTTGCTTAGTGGGAATTGTGGGGATGACAAATCCGCTTGATTGAGACATCTGAACAGTGTTTGTACGATAAAACATACGAATTTCTACAGTTGCAACACGATCAAATTTGATTTTGATCGATTTTAGCACCGATAAAAAGCTATTTTGTTTTTTCTTTTTTTGTCCTATAGGCTTTCGTTTTAAATTTCAAATTTAGCTTGCTCTTTGATTAGAAGAAAATTAGCTGACTCATTTCAAATTCAAACTTACTTCTCCTCACACTCTTGCTGTGTTTTGAATATATTTCGACTCTTCCCGCATTCTGTATAATGAAAGCTTTTACAAGCATTTATCTCGGAATTATAATAATAACGATTGGACATCAATTCACACCAATATCCACGATCCAATGGCTCGGAACATTCGGCTGAAATCAATATCATGCATTTACTTTTACAAAACTTCCCCTTTGAGTCCTGAAAATATAACCGAGCAGTAATCCTATGCATGGAAAGTTCTCGGAATACTAGTCGAATGAAAAAGCTCCAGTTTCTTCTAAATTGATGAAGTGTCTCCAGAACGGATCGACGACACTTTGACTTATAAAATCTATATCAGAACTTTAGTAGTAAGTCAGTATGCAGAAGAAAATGCTCGATTGAGACATTGCAATTGATATTGAAATGTTAGAATCCAAACGAAATGATAATTTCAAAGAACTGAAAAACCAACTTTTTGTTCGCACTCCACAAATTTGTTGACATCTCTCAATTGTGTCAAATCGATTTCCATTGTCACCATTGCAGTCACCACATAAAAACTGCTCACAAGTACCTTTGGTCAAGTTATAGAACCACTGATTGCTTAACTGATTACAATTACTCCAATTTGGATAAGCAATACAACGCTCTGAAATTATCAAATTGAGACTCTAAATTTTCAAACAAAAAATCTTTCAATAATATTAAAAAATGTTTGTTGGAAAGTTTGATATTGATATACAGTACTTAAGGATAGAATTATCGATTTATTTTTAAATTTCCAAGCATAGCCTATTTAGAAAATGACCTTGTAAAGGACGTTTTAGGCCTTTACACAGAACATTGCATGAATATTCGGTAAGAAAACGATTTTGATTCCCGTTGCATCCGGTATAATTAAATGTGACACAGCGTAGTTGAATGTGATCGTAAGCCCATCGTTGAACACTTTTCTGATTACTACCTAAGCATTTCCCTTTCATAATCGGCTCGAAGTAAACTAAAAATAAAAATTAATGCAAATTCTATAAAACTTTTCGCATAGATCGTATGCAAGAAAACAATTTAATCACCGCTCACAGGTAAAAAATCTATCAAATAATTAATTAATTGATGGAAAATCTGTTGGAAAATCTATTACTTAATTAATTAATAGACCGTAAGTAATAGATATTTTTCAACAACAATCATACTGCTGAAACAGCTGAAAATAACAAATTAATTTCATTTCTGAACAATTTACAGATCAACCTTTAGTATGCGGAACGTTTTCAAAGACGAATCTTGTTGGAATATGTAGACAAACAGTTTTACAAGTAGACAGGTCGTAGAATCGATTTTCATTACCGGCACATCCGGAATACCAGAATCGCCCACAACATTCTGAAATTTATTTCAATAATGAACATATAAAAAATAGTTTAAAAGGCCAATAAAAAGGTAAGAAACTGATAGCTCATCAGTGGAAAATCGTAGTACCGCTATTTTTGACATTTCAAGGGATGCGTGCTGTATTGATTGATTGAGAAGTCCTGATGATCCGGATGAAAGGAAAAAAAGTTAGTTATAGTCAATGTATGCATTCGTTCGAATGATCAACGGATTCAAACTTAATGACTGTCAGAAAGATCAGATGGAAAATGAAGTTGGGCAAATTCGAGATTATCGATTTATATGTCTAAGTACCATTCTCGTGACTGTAATAGTAAAATATTCCAGGTGTTTCAGGTGTTTTCGCACATTTTCTTTCCTTAAATTGCTTGCCACCATCGAACGGTAAAAAGCAATTCGTTTCCAGAACTAAAATTTAAATAAATTACTTAATATTTTAAAATCAAATAAGCCTTTTGATGGCGGCACTAAAATGATTGCAATTAGTAATCACAGTTTCTTTCTGCATATGTTTAGCATTTTAAACAAGAGATTCGAAATTAAAGATCGATAAATCAGGCACTTTATTGGTGCTACTGTTATTGTGAACTGATAATCCGATAATAAGCATTTTGATGATGGCAATTCTTAACTTTAAAATTAATCAATGATTGAAATCAAATCGACGAAAATATGAACTATGCCTTATTGACAAGAGTAAATTGTGCAAACTATATTTAAAAAAATAGCAAAATGGACAATTTAGTACCTACGAGATAACCGACGAAATTGATGGCACGTTGTTTGACATTGATTTAGCGTAAGGAAACGATTTGAGTTACCGTCACATCCACTGTACACGAAAGGTTCACAACGTTGTGTCCCTCGATTGTAGTAATAAGCGGGATGCCTTAAATCTAGTCATTTACCATTATAAAAAGCTATAAGGAATCACCTCATTATTAACAATCATAAACAGAAATCAATATTTTATCCTTCATTATTTGTCCTTTCCAGTAAATTTTTTGTAAATTACAAAATAATATAAAACTAACATTTTCGAACAATTGCCTAATGCCAATGGCTCCAAGCAACGTGTTATCAGTGCCAAGGGTAACATTTGCCCTTTGACCTTATCTTCAAACAATAAGATTTGAAGTATTAATCTATGAATCCAAGTAATGAATTTAAAGAATTGTTTGAAATACTATAAGTTTACAAAACAATTGATACATAAAATATGAGAGAAGGGGAAATATCGCAGTTTCAAGCTTTTGCTACACTTTCATCATCATCACGTGACTCACGCATTACGTTGTTTCACGTCATTACGTTGCCATACTTGCATTGTTGCATAATCACGAATGGTTTACGTTTATAATTTCTCATAGTTTTCCTTATTTGTTGTCGGATTTATTCAATAGTCGTCTGAGAAACATTTAATGTCATCCATTCTCCGCTGATATATAGCCAAGTTAGAATATTTTCCATTGTTAGAACTAATATATTAATAGCTGAGCGATTAATGATTAAGATAAGAACAGACCTGAACCTGAACCAGGCCATCTTATTGCACATCGCTTCTGGCAGTTTGTAATATTTTCAAAATTATTGCCGTTATCCGAGGTACATTCACTATTCCAGAACATTCGGCATTTGTTACTTTTTATATCATAATAGTACCGGGGTAACCAGTTTGTGATGTTACATTTATCTGCTAATTTCGGATCGAATTCACTATATTTTGATGTTTCTATAATGCTTATTGCCATTATCAGATCCTCTCTAAACAAATATTCTTTATTTTCTCTCCCAAAAATAAATCATTTTATCGGCTCCTATAAATTAATATCTCCGTGCAGATAATTGAATCAATTTCTTAATTAATATTTTTTACTTGATAAAACAGGCATGAACTGATCGAAGTGATAAGTCTTATCATTATCCTCTTCTTCCTTGGCTGATCTCGGGAAAACTTTTTGCAGAGAACGGCGAAATTCAGCTTTTAATATATGAAAATCAAAACTGCTGGCGTTATCATTTTCCGGTGCTTCCTTAACGTATGAGTGAGTCACATGTATTCCGGAAGGATTGCTACCAGGAGTTGCACGTATTCCGAAAGAATTACCAGCAGGAATCACATGTATCCCGGAATGATTACTAGAAGGAGTTGAATTAGCTGAAATTTGGTGAGTAAAGATTTTCACAAAGTATTGTTATAATTCATTTCATCCGGAATGCGGATGTTCTATTGAAAGTCAATACGAGTTAACAGAAGATGGGCAGAAAATAGATTTGCAATCTGATTAAAAGTATTGAATGCTGAATCCTTAATGAAATCCTTTACTATATCGAATAACGATCCGTTATTTGAATCAGTTACGGGATGACATTTAAGATCGATGATGTGTCAATTCTTATTCTAAAATATCAACACTATGCTAAATATAGTTTCAAAATCGCTTTTGGTGGAAAAAAAGAAAAAAAACTTTCAAATGCATAAGTATTGGAAGTTCGAGTAATTATAGTTAATTAATACGATTTATTTTCAAAACGGTACCATGAAGTGAAGTATAACTGCAGTTTATGTTTGATATTTCCAATTTAGCTGCTTTAACAGGCTTAATGTAAGCATCGATTAAAAGACCTGAAAAATTCATTTTCAAAAAATGATAATAATTAAAACCAACCTGAAACTTTACATCGTTTGATTTAACTTATTTCGAGAATATTTCAGATTTTCAGACTTCAAGAAAACAGATATTTGTAAAATGACCATCAAAAATCTTTCGCATCTGTATCGATTTTGACCGCATGGAACTATACGGTTGTGAAAACATTGCTGAAATTTGCCCGATATGACGTATATCATTTCGTTGTGATGGTTTTCCAGTCTAAAAATAGACAAGATATGATATCATTGATCAGAAGAAAGACGAATTATACGGTTTTCAAGAACGAAAAATTAAGCAATCGATTGAAAGTCGAATTTTTCGCTGAAGATTTCTTCTGGCTGAAAATTATTAAAATACGCCGAAAAATCTACGAAGCGCAAAAAGCACACTTTCTGATGAGGTCCCAATCGCCAGAAAAAGGTTTAAAACTCTGATCGTCAAACTCACTCATTTGTGATAAGCTATTAATTGTTTTATTTTAATCAAAAATTTTGTCAATAAATTAAAAGAATGACTGCTAATTAAGAACAGTTATAAACGATGGATTTCACAAATATACCATTTGGTCGGATTGCTCGCATAGTCTTTTACAAATCCCGCGATGGTAAAACATATTGGTAACTTTTCGACGTTTCGGGCATGAAGTATCGTACCAAAACATTTCACATGTTGAGCTTGTTTGATTATAAAAAAATCGTGGACGCCAATCAAAAGTCTTACAACCATAGCGTAGATTCGTGTCAAATTTTAGAAAGCACGCTGTAAATACATACTTACTTATGAGTTATTGATTGGGTTAATCATGAGAAATACCGGGAAAGACAGAGGAAATCACAATTAACATTCATTTAGCTTTCCTTGGTGGTCCTTTTTGTGGAATGCTTAATCCCAATCCGTATTTCTTTAGAGCATAGCAGAGTGTGACATCAAATTAATATCTTAATTAAATCGTTTGTGTATAAAATCGGTTAACGATACAGCTGATAGGAAACATTACAAAAGGATGGAAAACTTCCGTTTTCAGGTCTTGTAAATGAACTTTAAGCGTGTTTCCGAGGATAAAATTAGAATAAACGGATGACAATGAAAACAGATAGCAATATTTACAATTAGCCGTTTTCTTTGAGGTTGAATTTTTTGCCTTAGCCTTTGATATGCGATCGTTTTTCCTTACACACAGTAATTCACAAGCCTGGAAGCATTTTTTGTTGGAAAAGGTCAATCTTTCTAATTTAACAATTATGAATGTGACGATTTCAGAAATGTTTCATTTTTGGATAGCACATAATTTTCAGAGTTTGAAGAGACCTGCTCGTTAGCAAATATATTCCGATTCCTTCCGGATCCTTTACAACCACCATACCAAAAGCGTCGACATCGATTTTCGTCAATATCATAAAAATAACGTAGCTCCCAAGCTGGTGCACTCGACGTAGTCTGACGACACAATTTCCGGTATTGCGGATCAAATCGTTGGTGACAAATGGCTAAAATATATCCGGATACTGCTATTTGCAATATTTGTATACTACTTGCACCTAAACTGATCAAACATGAAATGTAACTTTATGACGTTTATTATCATATTAAATATATTTTCTAATTATTAAATTGTAAATAATTATTTACATTTATTGATTTTTCAAGCTGTAATTAAAAGAAATTAAAAGGAAGAAATGACTGGAGAAGTCTTGTTTCACACGAAATTTTCGTTTTCTACCACATTTTGCTTGACATTGTCGCCGATTCACGAAACGATTTTCATTCCCATTGCAACCACTAGAATTGTTCAAAACTTAATTTTAGCAATTAGTGTAAATGGTCAAGTTACCCGATAAATTCAAAGATACCCATCAGTTGTGCAACTTATGATATAGAAAGAAGCTTGTGGACATTGTTAACTGTGGCGCAAAATGAAGTCCATCAATATGAGCAAATTACAGGGAAAATATACCTGTACATAAATTTTCGACATTTATGATCACGATTACTATAATAAAAGGATGGAATTCTTTGTGAACAGTTGCCACGTTGGAGGGGTTGCTGCAATATCGTTCTAAAAGTTTTAGCAATAACTGTAGGAAGAAATTAAAATCGAAATGAGGAAAGTTCATGAGGTCATTTCCTCTTCATAAGGTCATTTAAATAGCCTAATATTCATTTCAATTAGTACAATTCCAAAAGTTTTATAGCATTGAAACGTAAAAAAATAAATGTTTTGAGATTAATTCATTCATCCTTCTTGATTACCTTTGAGTATAACTCGTTTTCCGGAATACAAAGAAATAGTATGCTCTATTTCGGCAACCGGAATCGAGTTGTGAACAACAGTGGATAATAAAAATTATTTACTCTTAGTTAAAAATGACTAATGATTAATATTAAACTGAGAAATTCAATTCCGTTTTACCTGACATGGATGATTGTTGCTATTTGATAATGTAACTACTAATTTAGCTATAGCACCACCCGTGGATATTGCTGCTTTATTAGATGCTGGAAAAAATACAAGCAACAGAAGCGCATATGTCGTATCCATTTATTTTAAAACACTGAAATTGATTTATTTCATACTATATATTATACATAAAACTGAAGCATTGATTCCCAAGAAACCTGGATTTCCTTCTTGCAAGTTTAATTTTATATTCAACTTCTTAATTCTTTCGACAAATTGACACGTGGCAAAATTCACAATGAAATATACAGCGGATTAAAATATAGCACTCAATTAGATATAACATTGATCTTCTGCGCAAATTTAAACGACATTATTTCTGTCATAATATTTTGCGAATTCATAGTATTTGAATGTTTGCGATCAAATTTACTGAAATTACTGAATTTGATTCATGCTGATTTTGATAAACTCCTTCTATCCTGATTTTGAATATTGGAAATCGAAATTACTGAAAGATCAGTGAATATTTTCACTGTAACTTTTGGGTATTCATTATGTAAACTTAAATTGTAATTTTAATCTACTGTCAATGATCGAAATTTGATAGTATTTGAGCGATGAAATTGCTATAATTCAAGTGAATACTGTAGCTGAATTCCATGAAGAAGTTCACTTTAAACAATTTTGCTTTAAATTATTGGAAAATATTGTCACACAGGAATGACATTTTATTTGCAAAATTAATCGGTCTATAAAGACATATTTATGATTTCTCATTAATTTAAATAAATTAGTAAACATCCATAAGAGAAATTTAAGAGGGAATTTTTAAGCAAATTTTAAGGCTTTCTGACAGTTACCAAAAATGTTTTCAATAGTTTTCTTTTAGAAAAGAATTTTTTTATAAATTATTTTGAACAAAGTTCTGTTCTTACAGAATTTTTTCAATTTGAAATTCTGTTTTTACGTTTCAGGAAATTTCTGAAGTGAGAAATTTGTAACTTGAAAGTTCTTTTTCTGGAAAATTAGCATTTGATTCATTTTTCGTAATCACTAACTAATTTCTTGTTTCATCCTTCTCCAGTTAGAGCAACCTTGAAAACATTTACATTTGACCGAGTAACAAGAACAAAATGGAGAAAAGGATTTGAGGTTGTTTGAACCTGGTAACTAATAATCCAAGATATGATAGACTAAAACACATGGAATAGTTTCAAATAGTTCAACGGATTTTCACTGAACTATTTTTTCAATTACAATATGTTTTTTCAAAAATATATATGAGAATCCTTAGATTGAGTTCAATGTAAGAATCGAATTTGAAAACAGATGTCCGATGATTGACGACAAACACAAAGTATGACAACTAATAAATTGTCACATTTAATACTTTGATGATTTCAAAATCAGAATATCATAAAAAAGATTGTAAACTTTGGTAGAATATAGTGAAGTACACATGTTTGATTCTATTTATAGAACGAAATATTGATGACCACATTGTTTGACAGACCAAAATATTATCAAAGATGAATGGTTTATTCGAAAAAAATTTCGATTGCAAAAAAATAAAATCGATTTCTTCATCCATCTCTCTTGACAGTCAAAAATAAAAAAAAAAAGAAAAAACAGAAATGAATCATAGCAGTGAGTAAACATTAAACTTTTTGAATAAGAGAGAAGTACACAATGAATTTATTGTAGGGCCAAGGAATCATTCCTACTCATATTTTCGAGTAATTAATTAAGAGATGTGATAACATAGGCTTGTATTCATAACATAGTGGACATACTTATACATCTCAATTATGCCAGATTAATGAGAGACTATATGATTTCAGTTATTATTTGTAAAATAAGATTAAATTAGACGGATGTAAGAGATGAATGTTTATTGAACCATTAAATTAAAGTAATTTCTAAATTGTCCCAAACTTATATCGAACGAAACCAAAACAAACAAAAGGAAAATTTTTAGGAGTTTTTAAGTCCCGAAAAATAAACAATTACAATTATTTGTGAGTAATTCGAAATCTCTTTTTCATATCAAAGTAGCTCGTTTTTCAAACATAAAAAATGATCATTAAATTATGCCATAAAACGAACAATGAACAGAGAGGAAAAAATTGTTTTAAAAAAATTTGTTTGAATTTGGAAATCACAAGTCCTTGAAGATTTTGTATTACTAAAAATGAATTTGATTGGAAGTACTGTTTTTTTATGGCACATGAAATTGTTTTGTCATTAAAATTAGAAATACTTTACTTATTATCAACTTATGCTTAATGTCGTCTTCGAGATATCTCAAAGGAAGAGTAGTGCAGCTTTTTGTTACAGTTACAATGCATTCTTTTATATCGTTGAAATATTTTCTTAACTTAAAGTCGAAAACTGATGGTGAATTTATTTCCGGCACAAAAATAAATTTTTAAAAATAAATTTTAAAAGTTATTTTTCTTTTTTCTTAAAAACTAAGCAATAATAACAATAGAAGGATAGCTGTGTTATTATTTCAAAACAAATAGTTGATGGTAAAGAATTACATTCCTTTCGTAGTGCAACAATAAATCGTGCACACATTCATCCTCCATACAAAATATACTCATTTCTTAATTACTTAATGAGAGAAGAAGTTAAGGTTTGGCCAATTATTTCATTAAAAAATGTCAAAAATTCCTCGAAATTTATTAAATATGAAACTTCAAGCAACTAAATGAGGACTTTTTTAGGATTAAAATGATTGATTGCTACATCACAATTATTACTTTTTTCATTACTTCGATATGAGTACAATTCAGATTCCAAAAACTCGAAATAATCGAAAATAATTTAAAAGTATTTTTCATAAAAGAATGCTATTATTAAACTGACTTTTCAATTTTGATAGAGAAAAATACAATTTTGAAATGAGAAATTTAAAAGAAATTAATAAATAAAAAGTTTCGATAAAATTGAACCAATGATAACAATATTTCGGTGTTCTTTTGCAAAGTGGGAAGAATTTACAAATAAAATTTGATTTTAAAAAGGCATCTTTGTAAGAGATATGATGTGGACAAATATATGCCCATGAAAATGTCAAAATATTCATCTCAGAATTCCCGAAAACCAAGAAGTATCATTAGAGCATGACTTTTGAGTTTATTTTAATTCCTTTTAAAATTGTAATTCAATTCTTTCTGAAATAATAACCTGTAATTCTTTTCTTTAGACTCTGCGATCAATTATTCCCAATCAGAGTTACTAAATGCGATGAGTATAGGTAAGAAAAGGGTTTCAATTGCTGGAACTTAAAAGACTCCTTAAGTAAAAGCACTGACACTTTCCATTCCGTAAGAAAACTTTCAAAATTAAGCAATGCATTTTAAACTAATATTTATTAATTTTCATATCGCCCGAAAAATTTTAAAATTTTATAAACAAAAAGATCTCGATAAGACCTATTATTTAATTAATAAAACTTAAAGAAAATTAATGTAGAAACTTAACGAAAAAAAAGAAACATAATTGAATTTATATCAGAATGATTTTAAAACGTAATAGAAGGACGGGAAGAATGAGGAAGACCGGAAACTTGAAATTCATATATAATGCCGGAGAAATCTCCGTAACGATTAGTAACTTTACCACAGAACGGAAATTTTCGAAAGCAAAGGCAGAAATAAGCATAAAAATTTTCTAACAAACATTGCATTCAATGCTGCGAAATGCACTAAAACCGGAAAGAGCACACTTAGCTTACTCGGTCGATCGGAAAAACAAAACAGGTCGACGAGAGATTAGCAGAAATATGTGGAAGGGATATTATTCGACCAGCCGAATATTTGTAATTTAATGCCGAATTAAAAAGTGAAGAATTTTGAGGAAGATGCTGAAAAAGTAAGAGAATGTTTTTGGAGGATGAAAAGGTGATAAATAAAAGTGCAAAAAGATCAGTTATCCCAACAACAGATTTGATATATCATAAAACCTATTACAAGTCTGATAGATTAATGATCTTTTTCCTCTTCTCATTTCTCTTCATACTTGGTTAATTAAAAGCTTCCATAAATTAGGTAAGTAAAGAAATCACACATTCGAATTTCATGAAATTAGACAGGAAAGATTTAAATACACTAATTTCATAAAATATGATTACAAACATTTCGTATACGTTATTTAAATTTTTAACTAAAGTATATGAATCAAGTATTTCTTGTTAAGGATTAGTCAAATTAACCCGATGAATGAAGCATTCCTCGAGAATCACACGTGATAGATGGTAAGAGACACTTCTGGAAGAGAAGAGATCCGAGAATCACTTCGTAATGTAACATATTTCATTGCTGTAGCAATAAAGTAGGAAGTGATTCTCGAGAAACCCAAATGTTCCTCGACATAAGGATAAAACATTTTCATTCTCTAATATTACTATAGTTTGCACTCTCAATTTTTGTAATCATTTGCAACAGGCGCTATTAACTGCTGCAACTCGTCAGATGCATCAGAACAACATGTTTTGCTTGTTACGTGCTATTAATATAAGAATAGAAGAGTTGTACTGAAATGATGAAAATGATGTAAATCTATTTAAACCTGAACTGTAACCAGACTACTTACTGTCATAATGACCGAAATTAATCTCAGTGATTATTTGTATGCCTGAATGCATCTGTCTAAACCTATTCATTGGCTAGTTGTTTTCAATCCCATATCAAAGATTAGTGAAATGCGCCTAGATACTCTGTGATAATGCAAAACGTAATCAGTAATCATTTTATCTTCCTTCATATATCATTTAATTTCAGTTATGAAGCAAATACATGCAAATATCATTTAATTTCAATTAATCAGCAAACGAATGCAATGAATATTGTTACTAGAGGCTGTTCTACGACTTACTTATCAAAGGTAATATATGCTTAATATAATTAACAAATGGTATTTACTTAGCATTAAATACCTAAAATTTAGTTTTTTTCCTTTTGTTTTGACGAAAATAGTATGGATAGAATAAGAGGTGAACTTTTTCGGTAATTTTTAAGTGAAATTCAAAGAGGATAAGTAAAGAATGCAGTTGAAAACAATTGAAATAGCCTACTTATCATACAACCATTCTTTTTTTGCAAGTTAAAAATTAATACCCGAATAATATAATATAATATCAAGAAAAGTAAGTTTTGCTCAGTTTGACAAAAGCAAAATTTCTCCCATTATCGCAACAAAAAAAAAAAAAGAAAAAAATATTTCATATCGAAATTTAAGGAATGGTAACAAGGTGACCCACGAATTCATCAGCCAATATTTCAACTTTTCTTCCTCGAAATGAATCAGTCGAAAAAAAAGAAGGAGAAGTAGGATAATCAGAAAATGGGATTGATTAGGGTGAGATATCAAATGAAATAGTGATTGTCTCGAGCAACACTTCCCAGAAGTCTGCTCGTTAACCAATATGTGCAAATTTTCCAAAATCATATATTTCGTTAAACTAAATTATCTATTTTCTTCAACATATCCAAATGGCAAAGGAATTTTTCCACGACGACCCAAAATATCATCAAAAAATGTCACATGAAGGAGAAGGGAATGGTCTTGTTATTCATTTGGATTAACGGGAGGCAATTCAAACATAAGTGATGATAAAATTAAATCCCATAAAAGTTATACGTGAATGAAATCATGTTTTACTTCCTCTGTCCTGAACTCTTTCAGTATTCAATGATAGCCACTGGGTCCATCGCCAGATCCATCATTACGAAAGTTTGGCGTTCCATTAAGCAATGCTGCAGCCGTGATGTACTGTTGCAAGTTTACAGGCGGAGCGTTAGATGATTGCACTATTCCGTCACCAAACGACGCTCCTTCGCCGTTAATTGTTGGTGCAAATCTGAGAGTCAAAAAAAAAAAATTTCTCAAAGAATTGGAAAATTCAGGGAGGGATGAATTTAATCTGTTATCTTTCGCGAAGGTAATTTATTGATTGCTAATCTCCTTTTTTCCCGCTTTCCTTCCCCTCTGAGGGAACGACCTAAGAGATTCATATGGAGCAAGGGAACTAAAATTTGACAAAAATAGGTTTAGTCGGTGAGCAAATAGATTAGTTACATCTAGGCCTGACAGTCCCTCTCTCTTTAACGAGCAAGAAACTGACTGCAGGATTTCACTTTTTCCCAAAATAATACCTTGAAGAGTCATATAAGACAATCAAGCCTGTAAAATAGTGCTAAGAAAAAAAAAGCTTACCCAGCCATTACTTGATTGTAGTATTCTCTGGCCAAAGCGTTGGAAGAATTGTCGAAGACACCGAACATCGGTGAACTAATTGCTGGATTCCACATGTACTGCATAGTGAACGGATCCATAAGCGGCGCACCAAATCCATAATGCTGAGAATATTGCGCAGCAGCAGCTGCTGTCGTTGCTGTAGCTGCTTGGCTACCAGGAATGCTACATTATTGAGGATTTATTTAATCATTTTGTATAGCTCCAAAAATCTCCCGCAGTGGGCAGGGTTTTAATTCTCAATACTTACTTTAAATAATGGGAGCAACTTCTTCGGCTAATAGTTTTCAGCTTTAATTGTATGTTAGTACAACTTACCTCACGGATGCTCGGTTCATTCGTTTACCATAGTAATCAGTAACTTCAAAAGCATCCATATCGAATCCCAATGATGCAAGCGCCTGACGTGTATTTACCGTATATGCATTATACGGATAATGTTGCGCGTTGCGGTATGGAAAGTTTATGCCCGTTCTGTTCATTAAAAGGAATGATTAATTTATCTGGCGTAAAATGAGTGGGAATTTTTGCATTTTCATGTTTTTTTCCCACTCTTCCTTCACAATCGATGGATAATGTCCCATTGATTAATGTGCGAATTTTTGTGAAGGAAAATTAATTTGTATAACTTGTAGGTGGAGAGGAAATGTCAAATTGAAAAATAGGCTTATTCCAAAAAGTGTCACCAAAAACAAAGCAAATTTTTCACTTAAATTATCTAAAAATAGTTTCTTGTCAACACTAAAACACTAAAAGCAATCTCAACGACCCTTTTCCAAAATGTTACCAATCTCACTTTCTCATTTTCTCCTATCAAAAGAAAAAGATATCGGAAAAGTTCAGCTTGAATTTTAAACAATGGAAAAGGATTTGATTAAATTATGCCTATTAATTTAAATCCAATTTGAGAATGTAAATAATAAAAAATTGCAATAGCCCTACCTGGGATCATAGAATGTGGCACGTCTGTCCTGAAATATGATCAGTTTTAATTGATATTTGTTTAAAGATTTACAACATTAAAATAAACGATTAACTGGGGAAAGTATTAATTTTAAGAGAATGACTAGGTGTAACTATATATAAAGTTTTTTTCTAAAAGAGATAAAACCATTTCACTTGGCGTGAAACTTTTTTTGTAGTTTAGAAAAGTATCACGACGGTTTTTTTGACACCTTACTAATGTCTTGCACATCCACTTAGCCACTGAAGTGATTATTTGATTAAGCATCAGTCTTATGAAGGATCAACAATAAAAACGATTTTTGGTTTGTCAACCTCAATGCTGCCGCCATTTGCAAACATCGGGAAATTGTTCACTTTACGGATTACATTTTCTGTCCTAATATGACCGAAATTGAACGGTGCTTGTAGCGGACGATTACCTGAATTTAAGGCTGTGGCCTTACTTAATAGCTATTTCCGTGTAGTTAAAAATTTGAAAATGAAATAAAGTAATGCAGTACGATTACAAGTTAGACTCTTTCTACAACCTTATCATATTTGCAGTTAGTGTTGTTCGTATTGACTTAAAGTAAAGTTAGTTAAAATAAATTTGTTCTTCTACGTTGGCTTAAAGTGATCTACGGTATGCATAAAATTAATGAGCAATCAATAATGCAAAAACAATTACGAAGTGCTATTCGCGACGCAATAGTTGGTCGATAAGTCCCATTGATGATCGATAATTCCATTAGCTGTTTACGTTTCAACTCATCCTCACCTTCTGGCTAAAAAAAATATGAAAAGTTGAGGTATATTTTGTGTTGCTCCCAGAAATTTCAATAATTGTCATGTTCTTGAGCGCATCGATAAGAAAAATCTTGTAGATGCAATCATTTTAAAAGCATGTCTCAATTGAATTCTAACAAATAACTCGATTATCTGGAAGCTACCCGTTTGCCGGGTAAATTTAGAAACAAACATATTTGGCATTAAAGGAGGAGAAGTAACCTACTGGAGGAATGAGCATGTGACGGATACATTCAACAGCTCGTTTCATCTTTTCCTTTGCTACTTCTTCGAAATCTTCACATTGGACTAACACATGCAACTCTTCCTTTAAGTGATCGTTGTGGATATTTTGACGATGTGAGCCACCCTCAAATTACTTTTACTTCATTCTCACTTTTCAAATGTTACTGTATTTTTTCGATTTTGGTTCAATGTTTGTATTTTGAAGAACTTGAAAGGACAACTTACTGAGTTTATAGAAAATTGACATAAAGAAAAAATTAACCTCGCGAGTTGATCCACGTCCACGAATCATGATACGGCAGCCAGATTCTTCTTCAAGCTGTTTTGCAGTCATCCCACGTGGACCAAGAATACGTCCAACAAAATTATACTGCGAAGATAAAACAATTAGATAGTTTGGTAGTAGATAATTAGATAGTATCTCAGATTCAAAATTTTAGAATTTCAATGATTTAGGAATTCACATTTTGCATGTTCAGAAGTCAAAAATTACTATCTTAAGTTTCGTTTTTTGTTAAAATATACACTACATTTTATATCTCAATACGATGTTACTCTTTCATAGATACTGAAAGAAAACTAACATTGGGATATTCATTTACTGGGACGAATATTTTCTCTTGCAGAAAAACCTTCTCCCCCCTTGTTGTGGTTGATAACTTAACCATGGTAGCTTCCTGATCTGTTCCTGGTGCTGGTGTTTCTGGTATTGGTGATGGTTCCGTTCCGTCGTCGTCAACTTCTACCACTTGTCCCACAATCTCACGAATTTTGGCGATCTCTGTACTATTGAATTTTCAGAATGTAATGATTAACCGATAATTAGATCTGAATGTAAATTCAAATGAATTACAGCAACCTTTCGGCCAAAAAGCTTGATACCATTCATCTGCAATGGTGAAATGATGTACCTTCATTGACGAGACGAACGGCATGCCTAAGATGGAAGGTGTTTGGCAATGTTCTCAAGTCTTCCATTTCCTCAACAAGTCGTGCCAAATATTTTGCATTTGCCTGCATATTTCAGAAAGAATCACTCAAGACAACCAATTCAGCTTTTAAAATAATTTTAATCGCAGTTTAAATTTCTCTTTGTTTTATTTCATCTATTAGGAGGAAAGCCATTTCTCCAAGTTTCCAGCAATCTTCAGAGCGAATTTTCTGTGTGAAAGATTAAAAGTTTGTGCGTAGTCAATAAAGAGATGATAAAAGCTGGTTTTAATTAATTTTAATTACGGAATACACGAACTAAGATTGGCCAAATCACAACTAACTTCCCGAAGAAATTACGCAAGTCGCAACTAACTTCCCGAGCAAATACATTTGAGAACCGGGAAAAGATGAAATTTTGATAGCCGCTTATTGATACTACCAACATCTTTTAGATCCTTGTTGAAACGTTGCTTTCCACCGTCACCAATTTCAGCACCGGCACTTGCAATCGTTGATTGTTCCATGTGTTCGGCACCATCTTTGCCATCACCAGTAACTGAATCCATTGTTTCCAGATTGTTTGAATTAATTGATTCCGTTGTTAATGATTCCGTTGTTGTTCCAGTGTTCGAATCTTCAGTAGCTGAAGATAAATCAATTTTTCCATAAAAGGCATTCCAAACATGCAGAAGCTAATCAGTGGAAATAAATTTCTTTCTTCTTGGAGATGTAAAATGCTAATGACAAAATGCCGAATAATGTTGTCGAAACTCAAAAATTAACTGGTAGTTGTATTTTCATCAAAACATCACACTTATGCCTATCATTATTGTTATTATTAGGAGAGATTCGGTCAGAGTACCTTCTGATTCCTTGAAATCCAAGTTCGGAACAGCTTCAACGTTTTTTCCGAGTCACTCTAAAATATGGAATAATCATTTCTCTGAAAATTCATTTATTTATTTTTCATCTATGCAAAAGGTCTACTATTGTGTCACATTTTCCAGAGGGCCGAAAAGTCACTAATAAGGACATATCCTCTCTCATGCCATTTATTGTTTGTAGAAAGTTTCGAAAAATTGCTCAGCAAAACTAACCATTCTGATCCTTTTGTTGTCAGCAATATAATTGTTGTAAGATACCGAACGACAAATATTCTAAACATTTAATGAAGTTTTGCTTGGTTCTGCCATTTCAATCTCATTTTAAATATAAAAATTTAGATTGGGTGATTACTTGAACCAGCATAATACCTTTCGTCAAGCTCACAATCATAACTAAGTGGAAAACTCTTTGTTTTACCTTTCGAAAGACCCAAACAAACAAACAAACTGACCGGTCAAATATATTAAAACTTTATTAGAAACTAACCCATTGGAACTAGTCAAGATGTTTGTTTAATATAAAAAATTTTGACAATTTTTTTCGGGTAGGCGTTGATGCTTCTAGGATGATTTTGGCTTCTACGGGAATCATGTGAAATTGCAGTATGGCTTACTTAAAATTCCTTTTCAATTTAAATTTAAATTCTAAACACATCAATACATTTGCCAAATTATTGCAGTTTTTCGAACTTTCCTATTATTCGACTTCGAAATTCCAAATTTCACTCATAACTTTGGCAAGAAACTATAAGACTGAGTTGAAGTGTTGATAAAATGGTGAAGCATCCCCAGTAAAATTTTTTGAAATCTCCGCTAATAGATTCTCGGCAAATACCAAACATTAGGGAAGTGTCAACACCTGTTAGAATCCCGAATCCTTTGTCCCGAATTGAAACATATAATTTACCTCGAGAGACTAGTGATCGAGACAACCGGCTACCAAGCAAGAGGAAAGTGAATTGTTTCGGAGAGAACTGTTTTCATGCTATTTGTAAGGTCTTTTCTAATTCATGCAAATTTTTGCCTTACTTTATATCATATACCTTCATAATTCCATCCTGAAAATACACACAATTTCAGCGACTGATGCCATATGTAAATTTCTGGTTTTTCAGAAGCACTCTCTCCTCTTTTCATCACATCATCTTAAGAGTCTCCAAAAAAAAAAGTGTGGATGAGAAATATGCAAATTTTCGCTAATTAACGATTAAGATGGTATAAGATATGACAAAAAAGAAGTAGGACCCTACAAAAACGAAAGAGAAGTTAACGTGGTGGTTTATCGAGATGACATGAACCTGAGACTTCTGGATATTTTTTTTACGAGCAAGAAATTGAATGGCTTAGTATGAAAGTAGAGTTGGCGTACCTTCCTGACTTTTATCAAATTATCAAATTTCTTCGTGCTTATCATCTCTGATCGATGGGGCCTTATATTTGACTTTGCTTACCAAAGCCATACATTCATTTCATTATCGACTTCATTACCTTGTGGTAAAATGAATCAGATCGTTATGATATCTCATTATTCAACATGCAGCACCCATTCTTTCAATCTTTTTCTTCTTTCCAGCATTTCATCTTTTCATCCCGGTAGTTATCGAGCACTACAACATCCCACTGGTGTATGCATCTATCTGGTAGTTTCGGTTGTGACTTCTTGTTGCCAGCTTTATTAGTCGAACCATTCCGTTCCGCTTTGTCCTTCCAATCTTACCTGAAACGGAGGTTGGTACAATGTGTTGCGGAATGCGTCCATTCAATGAAGTGTTATGGTTCGAATGATTTTTGAATGCTTATGAGCGGACCTGAGGACATGCAAACGTCAATTTGAGAATTCTAAGTCCCATCCTCTCCGTTAAGTGTCTTCCATTTCCGTTTTATATTATCAGTGATTTACATGTTTTCCGTTTGTACATCTACAAATGTTTTATTGCCCATTCGCTCCACCACGTGACACTTACGTGACTCAGAGGCTATCACATAGCGTCCTTTTGAAATAAGGGAGAGAGAGAAAGGTTAATACATATCTTGCTGGTACATTGTAGAGGAAAAGTTTCCCACTGGAAAAAAAAAAATTATTGCAGGCGATGTATTGAATGACGGTATATATAGATATATAGACGTAGTGTGGCAGAGAAAATGTATGGTGCTTGGTCGTGTAAATATTGTACTCTTCTCAATGACCATGCATCTCTTTTTTGTGTTTCCTGTGGATCACAGAATCCAGTTCCATCGAGCAGTTCCATTTTGCGTCCTCAACGTGGACAGATTAAATGGCCAAGTGAGTTTTTCCATTATTCTTCCGGATGGATTCATAGAAGTGTAACGGAATTCAGTAATTATTAAATTCCATTCTGCGTTCACTTCGAAACTTCGGAATAATTGACATATAATTGACGGAATAATTGGCGAATAAATAATTGACATTAATTTCAGATTTTAATTTCAGGAATCTCATTAACCGGTGCTTTGAGTGCAATTGATTCAGCGTTAAGTGATATTAAAACATTGCCTGCTATCTTCGGCTTATCACGATCTTTATCTTCTCGTAATCTTACGTCATGTCCTCCATCACCAACACAGGTAGAAGTGCAGCATTTGATTTCAACAAGAAATTTGAGATTTTTTAGGTAGTTTTCGCAGCTATTTGCGCAAATATCATATTACCATAAAGGCCAGCATACTGAAGATCGAAACAATCAGTATTGATGATTCCATAAAGTCTTGTAGATAATTGCGACTAATTGTTGGCAATTGCACCAAAAAGTATTTCTCAGTTTCAACGGATTTATTCATTGTTAATAATTCAGCTGCAACCTTCGATGGTGCCATGTCAAGCCATCTCAACATCATCATTTCAATTGCTGCAGAATGATGAGAAAGAAGCTGTATCCGAGTTTGACCGGATTGTTAGATTCTGCAAGTACCTCATTTTCATAATCTGTTTCCAAATTATGTAAGTCCATGAAAGGCTTGCTGTGGTATTATGTTGAAAGCCGACAACATAGCATCTTTTCTTTCTTTTTTTTTTTTGGTATAATCAACAACTAATGACTTTTTTTCATCAACAAAATAATTTCAAAATCATGTTTTGCAGAGAAAATAACATGCCATTTATTGACGACAGTTTCCCTCATTCGAAAAAATCCATTGGTAATTTTATTATTGATGGAAGATTAGATGGTAAAAAATTGAATGCGAGTGATTTTATCTGGCTCCGACCACAAGATATATACACGAAGGATGGCAAACGTTACAGATGGTCTGTGTTTTTAGATCCTAAGCCATCGGATATCGAACAAGGTTTTTCTTTTTTTGGATTTGCGGTTTCTGACATTTAATCATATGTTCTTCGAAATTAGTTTACGTTCTTGCACGATATATTATATATATAAACTAATTAAACTAATTAATTCCAACATTAATTACATAAACATAAACTAGTTACATAAACTTCACACAAACTAATTACATAAACTTCACATAAACTAATTTTGGTTCTTCTGCCAATATTTTTTTCCCTTGTTGAAATTTTGCAATGTTTAATTTATGTTAAGTGTAATTTGTATTTTGTTTTTAAAGTCTCCTTTTATTTTTGGAGTTTTCTGAGGTTTTTCAGGTCTCATTTCTCAAAATATTTCTATAAAACAAATCAAAATTATTAATAAATTTCTGAACGCTTTGTTTTCGTTTGCAGGTTGCTTGGGTAATTGCTGGTTTTTATCAGCTCTGGCGGTTATCGCTGAAAGACCAGATATTCTAGATCAAATTTTTCTTACAAAAATTTATAATCCATGGGGAGTCTATCAAATTCGGTAAATCATATCTTTCCTTTTTTGTTGACATATTTCACTACTTATAGCATTTTCTATTTAAAATTCCAACACTTCGAATTCAGTAGTTAAATTTTGAATATTAAATTCCAGTCTCTGTGTTGACGGCCACTGGCAGGTAGTCCTAGTTGATGATTTTCTTCCGTGCCATTCTCAAACTCATGGACTTGCTTTTGCTGTTGGACGACGCAATCAGGTTTTTTCTGAATTAGATCGTTCAGTTTTTTGTACGAAAATTAAGATTCTTATTTTACTATTTTCTAGAAGGAATTGAAATTAAAGTGCAGACTTAAATTTAATAAGTGTTTAAGTATCGAGGAATTGAAATGAAATATGTCAATCAGGGTGAACTTTAGATAACTAAACCTTTTTAATTTGATGCGAGTAGTGTGATGATATTATAGACTGAAACTGAAAAATATGTTTGTATCTTTCTTTTACAGCTTTGGGTCCCCTTAATCGAGAAAGCACTCGCAAAAATACTTGGCTGTTATGCAAAGTTACCTGCTGGACGTACACTGGAAGGTCTTGCAATACTTACTGGTGCACCATGTACATTTCTCGATCTTGAAAACTGTGCGGACTATGATCTTACTTGGGCCCATCTTCTCAGCATGAGGTAATTAAATGTTTAACAGACATAGATTAACATCATTTTGTTAAACAGTGTACTAGAAAATGTATAGAATAGCATTTTAACCGATATTATGTCTGAAGGTCCTGAAATTTGCATAGCTCAGCGAGTGAAAAGGAAGGATGAGATAATATAAGAATGATGATCGAGATGTGTAAAATTCTCTGTAACCAATAAAGCATCACCACTAAGATCCGATGCCAACATTCAAAGTATTAGTGAATGCTTTTCGTAATTAGATTTTGCTAACTTTTTTTTACTTTTTTTCGCAACATTGACACAGCTATTTTCAGGGAAGCAGGTTTCATTATGGGTTGCAGCTGTGGTAGCGGAAAGCGTTATGTGGATGAAGTCGAATTTAAACGTGTAGGCTTGCAAATACGACATGCATATTCTTTGTTGGATGTTAAGGAATATAACAATCAAAGGCATGTCCTTTATGTTGCCTTTTCCGGAAATTGGGATTTTGAATAAGACAACAAGCTGCACAAATATGCTATAAAAATTCGTATATATAGGTTACATAGATTCGTATATATTTTAGGGTTGTTCGCTTACGAAATCCATGGGGTTCATTTACCTGGAATGGGCCTTGGTGTGATACTTGGTCAGGTTGGGACGAATCAAGCCGTCGGATATTGTTACCAGATGGTCCGGAAGCAGGAGCATTCTGGATGCCTTTCGTAGATTTCATGCAACGATTTGATTCTGTTAGTGTTAAAGGCAGCCTTTAAGTCCAAAACCATCTAGATATGAATATTTTATCTCTTGGCTGTCATTATCCGATCTGATAATACATTGGTATCGTTCTAAAATGTTCACTGTGGAAGTGAATCAGTATATTTCAGTGTACGTACGAAAGTACTATTTTAAAAAAAAAAAACGAAGTACTATTTTAGCATTATGTGTACGTACGAAACGAAGTGCCATTTTAGGTCGAAGTGGCTAAGGTACGGTCAGCACAAGGTTGGAAAGAACTTCGGGTTGACTGTTCGATACCACAATTCTGGGGTAAAGAAAACATTTTGTAAGTAACTTGATCTCTGGTATTTCTTTTCGTCTTTAGGTTCTTTTTTGTTTCCTCGACTTCATTTCCTAGAGTCATAATCAAATCGGTTTATATTTCTGTGTAGTTCCTCATTATTAAGATACAAGAGAGTTGCGCTTTTGTTCTTTCGGATTCAGATATTTCTAATTAAACGTTTCCAAACTTTGTAGAGGTTTCCAACTTCAAATCGAGGAACCCACGGAATTGGCCATAACTGTTTATCAGAAGGGATCTCGTAATCGATGTGATAGTGATATAATGGTGTTGCTTCATAAAAATAGTCCTTCCAATACGCAAATAGGTGAACTTATCGTAAGGTAAATTTTACAGAATTTTCCTTTCTAATTCATTTTTGATGGTGGGGAACTATCGAAAGTTAATTCATGTATTTTTTGCGCAGTTTCTTAATCTTTCTCCTAATTTTTTTTTCTTTCTAAACTTTCCATTTATGTAAAATGATGTTAGGAATCGATGCAGATCGAATCAGTGGGTGTGAAAAAATTTATGCACTGACATTTTTTCTTCTGGGAGTGGGTACATGTCTGGCAAACATTTACACTACACAAGTACTAACGTTGTTTAATGCTGGATGACCATCATCATGTCGTAAGCATTTGATTCAATTTTAAACGGTTTGTTATTTTGAAAAACTTTGTTGTATTTTCTTTACAGGTCATTCCGCCGCAGTATAGCATTCGCAAGTACTAAGGATGTTTTTTTAAATGGTCCAGCTTTGTACACTGTACTTGCTATATCCTTCAGTAACATGTCGGATCCAGTTTCAATTGAAACTGTTGTTGCTCTTCATAGGTACTTTAAAAAAATTCAGAAGAAATTTAAATCCTTGCAAAGTTATTCTACATCTTAGCGACTGCTGAAAAAGACTGAAAAAAAACTGGTTGTATAGTAAATGAACTTACGTTGTAGACAGTAATAAAAAAAAGGCTAAAAGATATAATAAATCCAAAGAATGCTCCGTATTAATGAATTTAATCATCAGATATATTTTGTAAATTATGTCATGCACATTTAAATGCTACATTCAATAGGGCACAATTTTTCAAGGTCATGTTTTCAGTGCAAAAATGGTAATGATGGAAGCTTACTGGTTTTCATCATCAGTTATTGCACATTCGATGATTGAAATGTGTTTAAAAGAGGGCCAGAAAGCGCCGGTAAGTTATGTAAAGCACTGTTTTCCAATAAATTGTTTATTTTTTCTTATTTGTGCGTATCTTTTCATATATTTTTTGTTTTGCAGCTTATAAGTTATTAACGAAAAGAAGTGTCATGAAAGTTTTTTTTCTTAAAGCAATGACTTATGGATAATTATTTATGCGAGTTTTTATTATCGTGTCACTATCTTATCCTAAGCCACTTTATTCTCCACTTTAGTCCATATCAAATGAAATAAATTCATGACTTTTCACTATTCCTTTTTTACTGTGGATAACTTACTTATTGCTACATCTAAAAATTTTAAATGAATAGCCTTCAGTGCTTAGATGGTACAATCACTCGTTACGTATCAAAGGACTTTGGCGGACATATATTGATGGTCGAAAATCATCATCACCGTCATTTTTTACATGTAACACTTATTTATTAGAGTCATAATTCGAAATTTTCGTTTCAGATATTTCGCCCATTTAAATTCACTTATGATTTATAAGTATTTAACTCAGTTATTTTGAATACAATACAACTTGTTGAATACAACTTGTTCAGGTTTATTGTGATTGCTCGCAGTCAGCTAATGTACTGTCTACACGTGCGAGTCTTACTTCATTAGATGTAATACCGCCAATGCATCGTCAGGTTCACTTTCTCGTAATCCTTCTGTTTCTCCTGAATTTCAATTTTTATTTGAACTAAATTTCAAAATGTTCATTTCTTATAAGAACATAGAAATGGCAGAAACTGAAGAAAAATATTTCAGATTTTGATGCTTCTCACACATTTTGAAACGACCCAAATGTATACGATTCATCACAATTTAAAGCAGCGTCTCGCACTGTCTCGTGGTTTGCATGATTGGTTATCACTTGCACCCAGTGAGCTGTCACTGCCCATATCTACGGAGCACATTCCAATTATTCAAGATTCCTGCATGAATTCACTTCATAAACCTCGTCGGATCGGGTGATCATTTTCTCACTTCTCAACCTTATTTTTCACTTTTCAGCTTTACTTTTTTGATAAAGTCCTAACTTACTGAGCTTTAATCTTAGGTTTCCTTCCTCTTGTAAGGAGCCTTTTGTTTGTGTGAAGGTGTTCAGTTTTATGCTTACGAAATTTAGTCTTATAGAACACTTGAGAGAATTACTTTATTGGATATGAAGTTTCCGTCCAAAGACTAAATTCTCCCCCGAGATTTCCATACTCTGTTATCTGTTAATTTTTTTTAGTATTCTTTGAATCGCTTCTATTTAAAAATATTCACTATAATTTCTCCCTTAACGATACATTTCTATGTCCAGTTTGACTTCTCTGCTCCACCGTTGTCTCTAGTCATCTTTATGTTACTGAGATAAAGCCTATTCTGTTGAAATAAATCTCATGTATAAAATTTATAAAATGTGGATTAAACTCGTGTGACATATTATTTATCTAACTTACCTCTGTGATCAGCTAATGTTCTGGCTTGCACTGTGAAGTATTTCTGTGAGCTAAGGAAAGCTAATTTTTGTATGATTTTTGTATGATTTGTATTTTGTATGATTCGTGAACTTATCATCTTCACAGCTATAATATTTGATGAAAAACATTTTCGTTTATAACTCTTAGACTTATGTGGCAAATTGGAGTGATAGAAGTGTATTAGTTTCTTTCATCAAAAATCGTTTTAGGGCTTGAATAATAACAGGGATTTGATATTATTTCTTTTTACCAGTAAAACTACCATTTTAAAATGGGCTCAAGTTTTTTTGTCAAAATTACCTTTTGCTTGATGTTTATTTTGTTAAGCAGTTTCTTTGTGATCGTTATGAAAGATTGTACTTTGTGTGTTACGTTGCGTGCGATATTATACTGGTGCATATAATAGTTTATCAGATGACTTCAAAATTTGCAACTGGGGAAATAGATTGAAAAATTTAGTTGTGTATTGTTATGCACAACTGAACTCTGCGAAGTATATTGTCTTTTTTGTTCACTGAAGTTAAATGGTTTTTCTTTAGTGAAATAAAGTAGTCTGAATCTAAATCGAAATGCATTAAAAAAAACCGAGATTTCGAAAAATCAGGAAGTTATTCTGTCAGCTTATTGTCTACACTCCAAAGCATAATTCCACTTACAGGATGATTGGATTTCAAAACTCCATATAAGAATATTTTGAAATTCTTTAATGTTTGGTAAGCATTTATATAGGCGCTTCTTCTAAGAGTACCTTTAATAATTCCAATAAAATTGTAATCAAATTATGTGATGAAAATTGTCGCATATCTTAATTTGAATTTTTCGAAAATCACGAATCAAGAAATCTGGAATTCATTAAGTGCGGGTGGATTTTTATATTTCACTCAGTCATATATATGAGTACGCTGTATATCTGAGATTGATTTTTGAGGTCAATGCATTTGCATGATGTAGAGGGTTAAGATCTTAATATAAATTTCCACAGCACATTAAGTTAATTGATGCAAATAATTGTACTTTATATACATGCTATCTTATATTCATATTGAAAAGTCCTGTTTTACTGTATTTAGAAATCCGAAGTTTTTCTAGTCTGTCTTATCCGAAAGTTTGTAATAATTTATAGCTGGCAGTCCGAGAATCCTTATTGCGTCTTACGGCGGGAGTGCTTTTGAAACACTTTAAAAAACTCACAAAATGATGCATACTATATTCACATAATGTTTATTCACATTACTTGAAATAAAAAGTGAAAGTGCTAGTGAAATATACTGGATGATACGAGCTTGTTGATTTGCTTAATAAAATATTGATGAGTTTTATGTTTTCAAATTTACTAATGAATTTTACTAATTTTCCGGTATTAATTCACATAGATAGATAGACATTTACCACTAAGAATATGGGGCTTCATAAAGATTTGATATATTCAAGCATTTTACGAGTTCCTTTCTTTAAAAAAGAAAAAGTGCGTCAAAACAGATTTTAGTCAGTTATACTTCTGAAAGACAAAATGTCTTCACTAATTGAATGATCGTAATTTTTTATTTGAAGAAGAATATAGAAATGATGAATTGCAAGGATGAATATGTTCCTTTGCCATTCCTCAATTCATCTGGCATATTCATTTCCGGAATTCTCTGTCTTATCCAGACGTCATATTATTCATGACTATCACTCCTTATAGCTCTTTATTAGCATTATTTTCAATACATTCATGTGTTAGCATTGATTTTCGGTCCCTTTTATACTTTTTAAAAATATTTTGCATTTAATCCCAAAGCAGTATTATCATTCAAATAATCTTTTTGATAACTTAAAAACAATTTAAATCAATTCTTTTTTTTCTTGACATTTTTCCTTCATTTAAGCAACAGGAGCAGGATGTTTGTTGAAAATGAAATGATCATCGATGGTTCTTCACTCAGTAATAATACCTGCCAAGGTGCATTAACTCTTTTAGTTAATGAAACTCTTCATTATCATATTTAAGATCTGAATCGTTACAAGATGTTTATCATTTTCAGGAGTTGCTTTCTATAACTTATTTCTGAAAAAACTGTTTCTTTTACAAATCCAACTAAAAGAGTATTTCTTTTTAAGGTTTGAATCGTAGAGAAAGAGAGTTTGAGACTAAATAATATCATTGAATATTATACGGGTATATCATTCATAATTGCATATTGCATGGATTACTTTCATATCTTTAGTAAAGAGCGCAAATAATTTAAATGAATGGGAGGGAAATAGTGAAAGATGAATCCTAACTAAATCGTCCAATTCCCACAAATATTTGAAAAGCTTTTCTAAATATGCTATTAAGCATTTCTGGTATGATGCAGAGAAGTACCAATGTTAAGTAATCTAATAAGTTTAAATATTATGGGTTTACAGGATGAGCGGTCGATGCTAATATATGAAAAGCATAAGATCTTCATTTTGAGGTCATAAGGAGATGGAGCAAAGAAATCAAACAAATAGAGATTATTGTAAATATTGGAAAAGCAAATGCAATGCATAGCTATTACTGAAATTGTCACTGATGTTATCAGGATCATCATCCTTGTGAAATCAATTCTGATGCGGAAATTTTTTATCCCCAGTTCTATCCCCAGTCGATAACTTGGAACTCTTTTTAAGGGCAATGAATTGGGAAGAGGAATTAGAAGATTAGTGCAACATGAAATGAAAGGAGCCAAGTTGATTTCTGTTACAAATTTTATCATTTTATACATTTTATCATTTTATCAGATGTTTTATCAAAATTGAATTCATGCTGGAAATTTTTAAAGTTAAATAAAAACTGCAAAAAGTTGAAATTGTTCTTTCTTTCATATTTTCATTTAGACTTTGGGACTAAGAGCAAATGAAGTAATTTGTGTGTGAGTAAATTGAAGTTTATTCAATTTGCTTAATTGATAAGTTGGAAAATGGAATTTTGATGCTAATCAGATGCAAGGCAAAACATTTTTCGAAATTTAATTTAGCCAAAATTCTTTTACTTTCTAAAAATTGTCAACGGAAGAAATTTTGTCAAAAATTTGCTCAAAAAATTAGTAAAAAAAATTTTTTCAATAATTTATTGTTTTTGAAAGGTTTGTTATTAGAGAAATTCTTTAAATTTTGTTTGCATTTTGAAAAAACTGTATTATTTATAAATTATTTCTTAGCATTTTTCTATTCAACCATATATTGCTGTTCATTTTAGTTATGACCAACTGTTCTGACCAATCAGGAAAGATTTCTTCCTGAAAATGAGTCCGGAGAAGTCATAAGTTCTATAATGACAATGTTTGTCACTTTTAGACTTTTGTCCTTCTCCATCTTCTCTTTTTTCTTTTAATTTTATTGACAATTTTCCTGAAGTATGTATGGTAAGGATTCGGGAGGAAAAAAAAACATTTCATTAATAGTTTGTCTCTCTTTTACTTATCAATATTTTCCACTTTTTCTTTTTCTCTTTCTCTTTAAATGGTCATTTCAAATTAACGAGAATATAGTAGATTGACCAAATTAAGATATAATTTTTAAAAGAAAAAATACAGCAACATCTTTTTTGGTATTTTGGGTGACAAAGACGGTATATTTCCTGGAAGTTTCTCTCTAATAAAACATTGATAAGTGTGTGTGTGTGCATGTGTGTGTATATATATATGTGTGTGTGTGTATGTGTGTGTGTGTGTTTTTATGTGTTTAGTACTGCAGTTTAGTTGAGGTGTTAGCAGAGTTGAAATCTTAAATCCATTAGATAAATAATATTCCATCCTTTCTAAATGATCAAACAACGACAAAGTTAGTACTTTTATTGGAGCAAAAAGGAATTAATTAGTAACTGAATATGATAGAATAATTATTATGAAAATTAGAACAGGAGGGATAATTTACATCTCTATTGTGATATCTTTCATAGGATATTTGTAATTTTTATATAATTAATTGATACAAGTTATGCATTATTTAACTGTTTGTTACGAACCGGTTTATTGTAATAACCATTGATGCCTTCTATTTTTCCTTTCTCATATCGATGACAGAGGACCAGTATATTGCTACAAATGGGCTCATTCAATACTGTCACAAGATTGTCAAGATTTCAAATCGTCCATTGATAGAAGCAGCATTGCTAAATACTATAATTAGTTAATTCATTGGATCTAAAATCTTATCCGAAATGGTGATTGTGCATCAATCGAATAGCTATATGATAAATCTTTGGTAAAAAATATGATGAAATATTCAACTTTTCCTCCGAAAATTTCAAAAGGATATTTTAAATTCCCATCCAAACGCAAACTGCTAAAAAATTCTGCAGTATTTAAATTTTTAAGAACAGATAGTCGATTAATTTCACATCTTTGAGGAAGTAATAAACAGAAAGTGTTAATTGAACTAATTCTCCATAAAGTTTGATGACAACTTCTACAGAATCTCTTATCATAATTTCGTCACCTTCCTCCGGTGGTTTTATCTTTCCTTTTACTATAACTCATTTAATCACATAAACATCAATCTAAAAAACTCTGGCTAAAATCATATAATGAATTGTAAATTATGCAACTTTATGGTGGTTTTCAAAAAAAAAAAACATAAAATAGCATATTCCTGAAGGCATGTTGGAGACTTCCTTGCTAAGCCTTCATAATGAATAAAAAAAATTAGGAAGTTGCCATTGTCAACTATTTTGTGTCAAAAAGAGTTATCACCATAACAGTAATGAAGACAGAATTGTGCATTGGAAGATGACATTATAGTGTGAATAGTGTCGCTCGTTTCCATTATAAATCCTCGTTGACAGTATCATATTTGGTGACACATTATGAAAAATTGAGGAAGGAGTAGAAATAATTAATTAAGCAAACTTATCACGCGAGTAGATTTTTCTCCAATTTGGCAAAGACAATCTTATTTTTTGGTTGAAAATAAAATCCCTTTGGAAATAATCAATTGCAGGACTATTTTATGCTGAAGTTAATTGGTCTGTAAGAATCGTTTCTTTCTGCTTTCTTGAATTGCGCTCAATTTCATAAAAAGAATTGATAGTTTTTATTATTGCTAAGAGAAAAATGCCTTATCAATCAATGATTAAATTAAGGCTATTTCAGAAAAACATCAAACTCTTCTTTTGTTCTCTGAAAATTTTGGGAAGTCAGAAGAAGATAAGAAAATGGGGAAAAAAGAAAAAAATTTTCATTGTCAAATCTTTTTAAATTTTATGGCCTGTTTAAAGTACTGTCACTTTGACATTACGTAGAGATTTCAATTCGTTTCAAACTTCAATTACTTCATGGTTTTTCCTTTTTCCTTTTCAAAATCAATAATTTAGCTGAAATAATTTTTATCAAACCAATAATTTAAAAGCTTTGTGCCACAGATTGTGATCAGCGATGCCTGTTTCGATTAATTAAATCTGATATTCATTTCTAATTGAGTATGAAGCTATAGAGTTGAAGTGAGCAACTAGAAAACCGTATTATCCCTTGGTTAATTTACACAACTATCAGAAGATGACCATTAGTGTACTTGTTGAACTGGATATACCAATGCATGACAATCTCCAAAATTGATCCTTACTGGACATAAGAACACAATTCAATCGTATGTTCATTATTGTCGCATTATTCGGTAAATCATGTCACTGTCACAACTCTCTCACTGTGATTACCACCACGGTTGTGACATCAATGTATGAAAGCTATAAATATTCAAACATCTGAATGAAATTTCATGAAAAGGGTAGAAATTATTTCTGATGGGTTCAATCTATCATTAAAATTTATTGGTAGTCGTAACCTACCCATTACAATCTACTTACAGTTTCAACCTAGTCATTACAATTTACCCGGCACCTCAACCTACCCACTCTTTTATCCCAATTTATTCTCCCATCTTTCGCTTTTTTTTTGAAAGTTAATGAAAGTGCTAAACACAATTATGTTATTGATTTATTTAGTAAACAAATTATGAGGAATCCCAAGAATAAATTTAAAATGGATAGATGAATGGCGGCAGTAACTGCGGAACCGCCGTTGCACAGTTCTTTAGCACAGAAGCACTTCCTCATCTCTTTCAACCTAAAAAAAAATTTTGAAATAATAAAATAAAGTGAAATCAAATGACAACATTGATTGCTATATCATCATTTCCATATTTCATATTCATTGTCTCTAGAGTTATATCTTTTATCAGCATTTCATGTACTTGAAAGCTATACTATCAATAATTAAAAGAATTTACTTCCAGACGTTCATATTCACACATTCACCATCATTGAGCTTTCTTTCCTCAGAATCTGCACATCGCTTTTCAACGTAATATGAACCATCCTGAAATATAAACTTTTTTTTTTGAAATAATGAAATGTACAAAAAAATCTTGCATTGTGATAGAAATTGAAAAATTACGGTTTATTCGTTCCGAATTTTCAAATTGTCTGTGACAGAAAAGGATTGCTATCAAAATATATCAAAATATCGAAATATCGAAGGCTTTAATTTATAAAAAAGTTTCAAATTTACCAAAACATTTAAATTACAAAAACATCAACAATAAGCTATTAATGATCAATTTCAACTTTTAGAAAAATTTTCCAGTAACAAATTAATAATTAAGAATGTAAGGATAAAAAGAAAGGAATGTATTGAGTGAACTAATAATAAAGGTAATTGTAATCTATCTTTTCAAATCTTTCTTCCTTCTTCTATGGTACCCTCCAAACTTAAAAATTTATTTTGAAAAACTATCGATTGTCATCCTATCTTGAAAAACCATCGAAAATTTGTCATTTAGTCTACTGCTCAAAAGATGGAAATAATTTTGAGGCTTTTCTTCTGAGCATAGAAATGACTGACGCTTTTTAAAGGAAAGTTTTATTGCCATTATGATATCCTTGGTTTAGCATCCACATACTGAAAATTCAAGAGGTCTTGCTACAAAACTCCCATAGAATATACAAATACATCATAACCGGAATATCAGAGGAACAAACCGTGTTTAATGCAGTGACTGAGATGCAACCATTCCGGATTCCACTACCAGTACAATTTATTTTCTTTGGTTCACCTTTACAGGTTGCTGTTGGAGCACTCAAGAAGACACCACATGAATAACACTGAAACGGTGATGAGGATGCCATAGGAAGTACAGGTAGCCATAACAATGATAATAGCATTCCTGAATGAAATGCTATAAATTTGATTCTGAAAATTTTGAAGAGAAAACAATTCGAATACTTAAATAACAGTTCGAATGTAAAAGAAGAGATGGAATGAGGGTAATAAGTGAGATAATATCGTGATTTAGTTTTGAGATTTCAAAGCAGTTCTGATTGTCATGATAGAAAAATGATAAAAACAGTATTAATCATCAAAGAGGTCAAATGATACTGCTAACAACCTATGAAATGATGACATTTGCTACATCAAATAGAACGTAGAGCAGTATAACTAGTGATAGTGATAATGAAAGTAATGCATAGAGCAATGATAATGATATGTGGAAAGCATTGATAATGGCTCGATACAATTTTAGTGCTCAAATAATTGCAGCTTTGATCGAATATCTTTCGAAACAGACAGCATCTGATCATTAATACCAGTGCTAATGACATTCTGGCAAATCTAAAATCGACAAACAGATTGTGGCAAAGCTGCCAGATGTTAGCGGCGTAAATTGAAATGAAAACATTTGCGCCAATATGATTAACAAAAGAAGGAGGAAACAGGAATGAATAACATTGTAGAAATGGGTAGAAATGAAGAGAGTGTTGGAAAAGATGAGATGATAACTTTACACAGATATTGATTACTTTAAAAAGTTAATTTGAGAGAATTGGGTGGTTTTTTTTTTACATTTCTGATCATCTCCTGTTTAGCTATTTACTTCGGGTAAGTTTTAATAAGGATAGAATTGATATGAGCTGAAAAAGATTAGAATCAGATCAGATCAAATCAATGGTAGCAGCAGCAGAAGCTAGTTATATCAATAGTATCATTATATGAAAATGACAAAGTGACAATACTCCAACAACATGGTTGATCAGAAATTAGACTCAAAACTGAAATGTTGACTTTCAAATGAAAAAAGATCGATGATTTTGACAAAATTCATGTTCAACGATTCTTTTCCTTCAACAAAAACAGGAACAGGGCGATTCTAAAAGCATTTTGTAGCAGAGACCAGTAACTCTTCCACAGCAATTGACAACAAGCAAAGGTCAGGTTGGGTTAAGTCGGGTCGGGTCAACCTAACAACAATAGAAGAGCAGCAGGTGTGAGGGTAATACATTATTTCTATAAGTATCAGTCTGTTAATGTCACTGTGTATAAACAAAAGGAAAAGAAAGAGTAAGATGAAAGCTTAGTTTTAGATCATCCAATAACAATTTATTGATTTCCGAGTTCTTGACAGCATCTCATTTGAAGGATTCCGACCATTGTACTAATAGCAGTATGAGAAGGATTCTGACCATTGTACTAATAGCAGTATGAGACTTATGACGCACAATTGGTCATTGGATTCCAATTAATAGTCGTGTCAATAAATAACATACTGTTTGGAGACTTTTGCTGAAACTTGGTTTCGATTTAACACTAAATCTCAACAAAAAAACTCGAGAATTATTTCTAACAATCAGGAGGAAAGAGGGAGGGAGAGGAGTTCATAGTTCAAAAAATGCTTTCAATCACCGAAACAAATCAAGACTTCCAGTAAAAAACTGTCCTTGATATATGTTGCTCCGTATGTGATCAATTTAAGGCCTTTAATCAAGATTTCTGAAAGATAATACGACAATCCCGTTGCTGTAATGTTAGTATTAATCATCGCTGAAAGAGTTAATCAGTAATTGTCAATTTTTGATAATAATCAGATAGCTAAGAATATGTACCTTTACAGTTAGTTGTTTCATCAAATAAGTAAAATAATGAAATGTTGCAATAATCAAAAAGAAACCAATACCTGTAATAAAGCAATGATAATTAGTAATAACTGATACTGACTTAATGGAAGCTAATACCAGTTACTTGTTTATCATAAACTCTAATCAGTCTACCACTTTGAATATTTACCTTCAAATCCAAGGAGACAATACGGATGGCAGGTATTCAGAAATTTGAAGAGGGAAATTATATGAGAAAAAGGAAATAAATGTGATAAACAAAATTTTGTTGACTAAGAGAGTTCTTGAAAATTGCTGATATCCTCCTTCCTTTTTCAATTTCACCAACAAAATGAGTGATAGAGGAAGAAATCGATGTTTTTTTTTTTTTTTTACTGGTACTCTCTGCCTTTTTTGCTTTACTCTCTCAACTAATGCAAGTTCCATATCGGCTAATTCTTAACTGATATTTCTTAGCATCACTCACTAAGCTGAACCTTTTGAAATTTCGTTTAAATCATTGCTTCTCCCCTCATTGATATGTGGAGCTTTCATTAATCTCGATATATGAGAGCAAGTTAGGTTAGTTTGAAATGTAATAAAGCACTTGTCCGGAAAATTTCAGGAAGAATAGACGGAAACTATTCGTCTTCTTCATTAACTGCTGATAAATTATAAATCTGTTGAATTCCTTTCGAAATTTCTGAATGATTCAAATTAATAAAAAGCATTTGACTGATGGAATAAGCGGAACAGAAGAATTAGGAAGGAGCTAGTGAAATGAAATGATGGGAAATATTTGAAAGGAAGACAAGATCATTTTTGATAATTGAAATCTAATTTGATAAGATATGTCAGCTAAATGAATCACTTCTCACATTTAAGCATAAACTGTTACATTGATGAACAATACAGGAAAACGTATGGAAACATCTGTAAACCAACAATTGGAAGGGAAACAAACATACAAAAATCGCTTTTTCTGCAATTTTCAAATGATAAAAACTCAAAAATATTCATAGAATCAATTACTACAAAGTAA